CCCGGGAAACCTGATTCCCTAGTGGCTGCAAGGGCAGACGGAGCAGCAGTTGGGTGAATTGTGATGGCTGCTGCCCAGGTAGTTAAATTCTACTGTCACTGCAGCTTGTCCAGATTGTGGTGCAGTGCTAACTTTTACCGAGTGCAGCAGCAGAACACTGAATTTCTCGAAGATTCACAGAATCTTGGAATCTGTATGTGCTCTATAAAATCTAAAGCTGTACCCGAGTGCAAAAATACTTATACTTACTCAAAGAGTTGGATCCACTTGTTAGGTGATTACATTACAATACTGCTTCTAAGTCATAGATCCTGCTACGTTTATTAAGAATGTTGTTTTTAACAACATTTTTTAAATATTTTATTTAATATAAACAACCCCTAAAACAATCAGTGGTCATAATCTGCCTCTATGGCTTTTTATTATTAAAATAAAATTTGCAGCACGATTTTAAACTCAGTTTTTAAAACCTTACGATGTACCTACAGCCCACGGGCTCACGGTGCCAAATCGCAAATTTTTGAATGCTTCAGGGAAGAGTCACTCTAAGATTTAAATCGGTAAATGAGGCTTAGGATCAGGAATCTTTCATAGCGAGTCATCCAAACACACAGCGGCATGTTAATAACTAACCTTGTGTGAATGTGAATGGATCCTCTCAGATGTTCTATTTCAATCACATTCCTGCAAAAGGATTGCATCTGGCTCTTCCCATCAGGGAACCTCACATTAAAAAAAGGACACATGTTTATATTATCCCAACCACAGCTCTGCAGCTAGCCACCAGGTAGCACGCCATTTTATGCAAGCTATCCCAACTTCACTAACCTCACAGACATCACTGCTGTCTAGTTATCTGTCTATATTTATGTGAAACCACACTTCCTCCCTGGGTCAGATCATGGCGTATGGCATATCATCTTTAGAAAGAAACTAGCAAGCTGACTTCCTGCCTACTTCTCCATTGAAATCCACTTTTTTTCATACATGCCTCAAAGTTAAACTTTATTGTAATACATAGGTGAGCAGTGAAGTTTTTGCTCTTTACTGGTCGGATTTACGGATGTGTTAACATAATATCCAAGAAAATTCACCCCCTGGTCAGAAAGTACAATGCTCAGAGAAAATGCAAAAACCCATGAGCTACATATCAGACTCTACAGGTCTCAGTTAGCATGTTAACTGTTAAAGGTCATGGCCGCACATTTAGAAAAAGACTGAACAAGTATGGCTTGTTTGAAAGGGTTACCAGGGGAACACCTCTTCTCTCTGATAAGGGCGTGGCAGCACAGTTTGGTTTGCAAAGCTGCATCTGAACAAACTAAAGAGTTCAGAAACAACATCCTTTGGACAGATGAGACTGGATAGAGCTGAGCTTAAATGAATGCCCACAAATATCAATGAACTGAAGCAGTGCTGTAAAGAACAGTTGGCCAAAATTCCTTCCTAACAATGTGAAAGACAGATAAAGTCATACAGAAAATGATCACTTAAGATTACTTGAATGTGGATCTACAAGCTGCTGACGTTGTGTGCTTACTGTAGGTAGTCCCGTGGAAACTATTTTTCACATAGGTGTACAAGTAGTACAGAATAAAACTGCATGTTGCACGCTGCAATGCAATGTAACCTGGACTGGCGAACCGCTAAACATCAGTCAGAATATTCTATTTTAATAAGGAATATATTATAAACGTGACTTGGAATAAATGTATAATGTACTATATAGAATGCTGTCACGAAATGGTCAACATAAAATTATAAGATTCATTTAAAGTAAGAGCAGTTTCAAGACTTATTAAGCTGAGATAGGCTCCAGTTACCCCTGAAACCCTGAATAGTATAGAAGCATTTAAGAAAATGGATGAGATGACATTATAGAGGAAATAAGATTTATTTATGAATCAAAATAATATCTGTAAAGATTTGCTTTTTTGCTTATGTTTATGTATTTGTGAATGTTGATTCTATGCGTACGTATGAATGGAGGACATCATCAAGAGTAACTAACACTGATGCTAATGTGGATCCTAATAATGCACAAAAAAACAACCAAAAAATCAAATCTTTTAAATTTTAACAAGCATAATGTAACCAAGGACAACACAGGGCTCTGAAGATGTACATCTGGATGAAGATGATCACAGAGGTGAGGGTTGCAAGAGTGTTTCTGTAGCAGTTGCTCAGCTATGCCATATGCTAAGCATTCAAATTATCCTTTTATAATAAAACATCTCACATTAACAGTAATTCTAGGCACTGAGCACCACAATATAGTCCTCCTCCATGTTTGTATGCAAATCAACGAAACAAATTCATTTGTTTTTAGCAGTTTACTTTTTTAAGTATCTGCCTTGAGCTAACACATACAGGACACTTACCAACGGCAATGGCTTTCCCCTGAGATAATGCAGCCTTCTTTAATACACTAATGAGTGTCTGCTGTGAGTCAGAATGTCTGCTACACCAGACAGACAATAAACCTTTTTACCTGAAAGAAATCAGCTCATTGTGGAAGTGCTGTTTCTTTAATGTGCCTTCTATCACTGGGTCCAAGAGAAAATGAAATTTTACCTCATTGTGATAAAATGATGTGAAGGAACAGGAACAGTCCTAAAATAGCAATTCATTTAGAGCAAATATTTTTTGATGATTACACTTCCTGTATTCACAGACAGTGACATATCGTTGTTCAGATCATGACAAGAAAAATACTTTACTTACTTTTACTTGTATGTTACAAATTGGATAATAGCTGGCCTGTACACACAGTGCTTAATAAATTTAAGAGACCATCATCCAGTGTAAAGCGTATGCTGCCCTAAGTTAACATTGCTGGTAAGTACTGGTTTCTGTAAGTTTCTGTAATGGTTAATCCACCAGTGTGCTCAAGCACTTTATATTTTTAATGCTAATTTTTTTTCCCAAGAATTGTCAAATTTACTGTTTAATAAAAAAAAAATTAAAAAAAACATTATTTTATTTTTGGATTAAGATGTCAAATCAGTTATTTATTTACACTCGTAAACAGAAAATATAGTTTTCCTGGTTGAATGTAACGCTCGATTAATTCCTGCCGCCTCAAATTTGGGTATAAAAACATGAATTCAGTTTGTTATTTGGCTCACAAATAACAAATATAATTTATCGTTTTAAACAAGTTTTTGACAGATCTCTAAATTGTTTGTGTTTTCTTGTTTTCATGGCAGGTGGTCTAATAAATCTATAAATACAACAATATGTGCCAGCGCTGTTGACACAGTGGAAAAAGAAGAAATGACACAATGGAGTAATGGAGATGGAGCACACAAATTAATTAGTGCATCTCATATCTATGTTTGCCATCTCACTGTGGGGGCAGTTTTATTTTTATAATTCTGGTGTCCATCTGCGCCTTTCACTCACATAACCTAAACAAGATTTCTGAAGATACCGCCCCACTCCTCCTCGTTTGTAGGAGGAAAGGCCTCGAGCCATGGGACGTCCCTGCAGTGTTGAAGGAAAGACACGAGGATTTGCTTGTTATGTATAAACAGGTAGGAAAACTATCGCCCTGGTCAAGGCTGATAGGATTAAACAGATTTGTGAGCGGTGCTATTTAAGCAATAAAGACAGCTGCAGGCTGAAAACTGTTACAGGTGTTTAGAGAGCGAACGAAGGGACAGGACTCTCAGCAGAGGTTCAAAGCATCAGCAGAGCTCTACAGGTATGTTTCCTGTTCATGTAGATGACAAGAAAGCTGCTGAAGACGTTGTCACGGATCTGCTGTTAAAGACAGAATGAGGTTATAGCATAGTTGTGGGGACGTGGCAGATTGAGTTCTTCCTCTAGAAAGAGGTTTAACAGAAAAAAAAATTGTGATATTACATATCAAAGAGTTTAAATGATGTCATTTAAGGGTTTAGTTTGAAGAAACAGCCGTGTGCATGAAAGGGGTTAATTAGAAGAGGTTTATTAAATTCTGTGCATCATCCGTTTATCATCTTTGTTAGGCTGTTTAATAATAGAATCCATTTTCTATCTGGCTTTAATAAAAGATATTGGTTGTCATCTTTTCATCGTTTTCATGCTAAACCACAATTTTCCTTTGTTTTTTTATTTTTATTTTTATTGCAGTTATTCATTTGTTTCTATAGTAGTTTTAGGTCAAATTTTCCAAATTTAATTTGATAATTTAATTTAAAGCACTGCTTCTGAGCTTTCTCGAACCATAATTGCCTTAGCATTTAAAAAACGTTTTTCAAAGTGGAAATTTATTATTAGCTTTGGAAACTTTGGAAGCTTTTCAAAATATATTTTATATTTCTTTCCCTTTTTCTGCATACTTTAAATGACATATCAGTGTGAGATGTGGAAAAACTCACTGAGCCTTGAGCTAATCATGCTTTATCTGTATTTTATTAGATTAAAGGTCATCTGTTTGCAGTCAGGAATGCTCCTCTGCAGAAAGACATGCTATTGTTCTTGAGTAATGTGCTGAGCTTTGGAAATGTAATCTTTTTAATACCATTAAGAATGCATGTTTTAATCGTGTTTTACAATATTTGTCGTTTTACCTTGAGATGAAGACAGACATTTCAGAGATGGATGTCTTTTAATCTGAAAAGACAGAAGCTATGACTATATTTACATGGCTGGATGCTTTAATTTAAGTGAACCACTCTTTTAGGATCTAGTCTACAAGATGAATAAAAATGTGCAGTTAAATAAGATCCAACTCTGAAAAATAAAATGAAAAATAATCTCGACTATTATTTCCCGCTTTTCATTTCAGAATACATTTTGTTTTACAGCACACTAAATCAGCCACCACTCCTGTAAATGCACACCAGCACATTTGAGTGTATACATTACTCTTCTGTAGAGGAAATAACGCCATTAATCCACATCTCCATAATATAATCATGTATAATGACACAGCCGCGTTTTAATCAACACTAAACTTCTGACATTGTCTCAAAGCGCCTCATTTGATACCCGATCCCCTCTTGTGGCAGCAGCGTGTAGTGCATCCGGCAGAGGATGCAGCTGGTTGTCATGGCAGCAGTGCTTGCGCTGGCGGGGGCGGAGCAAGACTGCAGCTCCGGCTGTCGCCCAAAGAACATCAGCCTCCCTGTGGACACCTGCGGCACCACCGAGTTCGTCGACACCACCATTTGTGAAGGACAGTGTTTCCAAAAGGTGAAGAGTGACTCGCTCTCCTCTAACTTGTGCTACTTGTGCACTGTTTTTCCCGGTGAGACATGTGCGTTTATTCTGCTTAGACGTGATGTGTTAAGCTGAGCTCAGTGCTCCTGAGGAAGTCATTCATTTCGATTTGATTTATACAAATCACCACAGCTGTCACTTAAATGTGTTTTATTGTAAGGTGAAGGCACTACGGAGAAAAGCCCAATCACATAACCTCCCATGAGCAAGCGCTAGGTGACAGTGGGAAGGAAAAACTCCCTTTTAACAACAAGGAACCTCCAGAACCGAGAACCAGCCTCGCAGTCATCCAGTCTGAGTGGCTGGGGGTGACAATAATAGTTGCAATCTGAAAAATTTATAGTGTTCAGTAAGATTATGTATTGCTATAAGTTTTCTTTAAAGATAAATCACATTTACAACTTTATAGCAGACCTCTTAAAGGCTACTGCAGGGGCACACATTTGATCCTCACCAAGCCATCTCTTGTGTCATTCCCTGGCCCTCCACCTGTTTTCCCTCTCTACATACTACTGCTCCATAAAAACAGAAAAGAAAGAAAAATACTATAATGAGAGATCATTACATAATACAAGCTTTAGGGTTAAAGCACACATTCAATGACCATCAAAATTATACAAACTTTGTACAAGTATATAGAAAATGAAAATTTAAAATTGACCTCTAACATCAAAAGATACCACAAGTGACCCTTTTGAAAGGGTTGTAGTCCGGTATTAGTTTATTTATTAAAATGTTTGCAAAGCCGATTAAAATCTTGTACTTTTGAGTTTTTAAATGTCTCACAAGCTAAATAATCTTAAATAGTGGCAGCAAAAGTCAAAAGCTGTCAGATTCATGAAGTTGGAATGAAATCCCTTTAAAGAAATGGAACTGACTGTGTTTATATCCATGTGTCTGATCCCTCTGCTCTGCTGGTAGGATCCCAACTATGTTCATACTGACGACGGGCCCAAACAGAAAACCTGCAACGGAGAGTGGTCCTACGAGGTGAAATACACAGAGCAATGTCCACGGGGTTTCATCTACCCTGTGGCCAGGAAGTGTGAGTGCACTGCATGCAATGCAAACACAGACTGCGGGACCTTGTCTGGATACATACCCAGCTGTTAGCCCTTTTAAAGAACCCCAGTATTCATCCTGCGCTTAACAGTTATCTTCTTTGCACCTCTTCCCTCTGAAATAAACCAGTGATACAAGCCTTTCTGTTTCAATCTGTTTTATTACAATTTTTTATAAATGCAACCCCTCCCTTAAAAGTTATTCTCTTTATACGTGTAGGTAATTGTGGTCACACCAGAACACAGGTATCAATAGTCGTTATTAGACCGCTTGCATTATTAGTGGCGCGCTTCAGTCTTATAGTGTCATAAGTCACAGCAGAAGAAACTGTGTAGATGCAGCAGACCTGTAGAGTCAGCTAGAAAAGCAACCACCCAACAGTTTCCCTTTTTGTTTTGAGCGGGGTGACTGACCCCTGAAAGTCAATAATCCTGCGAGTCAGGTTTCCCTGCTGAGAACAGGATATAATCTTGCAAAGAAAACAGAACACTTCTCCTCCTCTTTTGACAGGTGGAAATGAAAATATAGAGTTTGCAGCATATTGAACTCCCCCCCCCCCTCCCCCTGCAAAGTGCCTGCAAATCGGTGTCTCTCTACTCAACTCAACACAGCCTAGTGAGCAGAAAACCTCCTCAGAGCTGTTAAAGTGGTGGAAACTATAAGCCAGCTAAAGATACAGATCTAATATTGTATGCTTGGGTGTGAGGAGGCCTCAAAACATATATAGATTAAAAAATGAATATAAAACAGAGTATGCACCTGCAAGCTTTGTTTTTTCTCCTCTGATCCAAACTAAGGACTTTTCAAAATTTGGGACAAAAGAAAAAAGGCAAAATTAATGGACACCTTTGCAGAGAAATGAGAAGAAGAATAAATGAGCCCTTCGCGCCCTGAAGTCTGAAAAAGTCTGTTACGATAAAGTTTGGAACAGACTTATTTTTAGCCCAATGCAGGTGCATCTTCTGACTCTACAGACTGTTAGCATAAAATCTTGTTATAAGGCCAGAGACAAACCTGAGGCTGCTGCTAGCAACAACTCACTCATTAATATGACAAGCTGTTAACTACCTACAGTGCTGTTACCTGGCAACACACCGGCTTTATCCTCCTGCATTGTGGACAGCAACTCATTCATTGACAGCTTTAGCATGTGGGTTTGTTGGTGAAAAAAAAACAACAAAACACGGTTTAATTGTTGAACTAAAGTGTATATTTTTTTTCCTTTTCAGGGGCTGGAATGCAATAAGAGGCAACGCAACACTATAGTGATGCTTTTTGCACAAAAAATGATGTGATCATGATACAGTGATTCTGCAGTCTCAGTGTTTTGTGAGACAATCACGTATAACGGATCATGACAATCTGCGATACTGACAAGACCAATAAAAAAAAATGCCACTAAGGCAAAGATCAGGAATTAAGTAAATAGACCAGCACTTATGTTGCATTATTCTACTCTGACTGAGAAATCAAAATGCTTTTCTACTCCAGGCCTTACATACATCTGTTAAGTAAATGATCATGCACACACATACATTCACGCTCTTACATTTTAAGGTTCAGTATCATCAGCGTCTGGACTGGAGGAGACTGCAGTGACCAAACCACCGACCTTTCTGTTAGCCTAGAAGACGACCCACTCTACCTGCTGAGGCACTGCTATGTCTTATCTGCGTCACTGCAGGTTGTGGTGTCACTGTGTGTGTGCGTGTGCATTAACAATATTATTATTTTCTAATAATGTGTCATTTCCTGCCCACCATTTCCTCTCTGTGATTTTTTTTCCACTTTGCCCCTATTCTTTTGATAACTACCACAGTGAGGATTGATCAAGTAGTGATTATGGTAAGCTTAACTGCTGAGATCATTTGTTGTTTAATGCATTGCTCTATCAGTCTATCAATAATTTGTTCCAACCGTATCTAACACGATATTTCTAATTAATTGGGTACTCCATAAATGTAAAGTATTCCTTTAATTAGGTCTCAAGGTTCAGAAGAGATAGATTAAATTAAAAGTTGTTACATTCAAAGCAACAAAGGACAAGTTATCCTGACACTCTGAATCTCCAGTCTGGATCAGGTTCCTAATGAGATTTTGTTCATTACACATCAGCATGTGTGAAAGTTAGCCTTTCAGTCTGTGAAAATCTTCCTCCAGTGCCCAGGAATGGGTCTCTCAACACAGAGATATATCTATGTTTAACATTTTTGAGGTATGGCACATCTTAGGTAGCTACAGCATAACAAAAGGCCACAATTCAGTCACATAACTCATGTTTGTCCCTCCCATCACCCCTATCCAGTCAGATGCCTGCACTTCCTTGAACCTGGTTCTGCTGAAGGTTTCCTCCCTTCAAAAGGGAGTTTTTCCTTCCCACTGTCACCAAGTGCTCACTCATAGGGAGTCATTTGATTGCTGGGGTTTTCTCTGTATTATTGTGGGGTCTTTATTCTACAATATAAAGTGCCCTGGGGCGACTGCTGTTGTGATTTGGGCAGTGATAAGTAGATATCTCCCTGGAGTCTTACTGATGGATGTTGAGGTGATGGAGGGGTTAAAACAGCAGGAAGCGATGCAGAGCAGTGTGATGCATTGAAAGCAGTGCACTCAGTCTTGTAGACGTCCAGTATAGTTTTAGTTTTTAATTTTACTTGTTAACTTTAATAACCATGGGTACTCCGGCTTCCTCCCAAAGGTCCAAAGGGTTAGGTCAGTTGGTGATTCCAAACTGCCCATAGGTATGAATGTGGTGCAAACTGTTGTCTGTCTCTCTGTGTTAGCCCTGCATCCAGCTGGCAACTTCTCCAGGGTGTACCCCACCTCCTGCCCTATGGTAGCTGGGATAGACTCCAGCCCGCACCCCTGTGACCCTGACAAGGAAAAGCAGAAGAGAACAGATGGATGGATGGATCCCATCCGTGTGAGGGATTCCACTGGAATCCTGAAAGGAAGTAAAGCATTTGTCGGTCTTGTTAGGGAGAAAAAGATGTAGGTAAGTTGTGTTACAATTGCATGATAATACTGCACATTTTAATTCAATTTTTATTTAATGTATATCACAACTGTGGGTGCTGTGGAGTGGGTGATGAAAAGACACTTGCCATAAAGTTTGTGAGTGATTCTAAAAGTGTGCTGCCCAAGAAACTTGTATTCAGTGGATATCAATATTTCCACGGCTTGTAGCTCAAAAGTCAAAGCTAAAGTGCCTTCACAAGCGAGAAAATCAATGATAGCAAAAGAGGTCAGAACAGAAATCCATGGGCAATGATTACATAAAGTATTGTTGCACTTGTACAACAGCAGCTTGCTGAAGTTCAGGATCTTGTTTGGACCAACAAATTTTCAGTTTGTTGTTTTGAGTCAGAGACTAAGAGGAGCTAAGATGGAGTAATAATCAAGCCTACAGGCAAAACTGACCTAAGCTGCTGGCAGTAGAGTCCACGCTGGCATGTAGCGCGATGGAGCATGGCCCACAGGTGTGAGGCGGCAGCCTTTTTAGTGCTGACCACATCACAACAAACGGACCTTTTCTGTTCCCATACAAGCAGCCTGAAGGAGGATTTTTAAACAAACCATACAATGCAAGAGCTATATCCACATCCTCAGCACAGTCCACTATGTTTTCAGTGGATGGACAAGAGTCTTCATTTCATCTGACCATGGCCTTCACCACAAACTGGTGCGGTCTCTACCTGAGTATGAAACCACCTGGATCAAGGTCAGTATTTCCAGGTTTGAAGCCATGGCTCTTAGCTTGATAACCAAACATGTTGCATGTTAACAACCGAAAGGACAGTGGACCCAAGATCAGGTCTAAGTTACATTTCACCTTTGCATCTAGATCTAGACCAAAAGAACGAAGTCACTTATAGTTCACTCCATAAAGTAGCTGGTCTCATCCTTGAAGAGGCTTCTTTGCACTGAAAGGTGTCAGCTGAGATGATTCAGGCAAACTTGGAGGTCTCAGAGGCATGCCAACTGAGAGGAGAACCAGAAGAGCTGGCTGGACAGCTCATCTTATCTGGCTTCTGAACTTATGATTAAATAAATACATGCCTTCCAATTAGGAGAAAGCATTGGGCAAATATAGGAAAACAACATTTCTCCACTTCAAAAGGTTAAAGCTACTGTTTGATGTTTTGCTTAATTCAGTTCAATTCTATTTTATTTATATAAAATCGCCTCAAGATGCTTATTATTGTAAGGTCAAGACCCTACAATAATACAGAGAAACCCCAACAATCAGACGACCCCCAATGAGCAAACACTTCAATGACAGTGGGAAGGAAAAACTCCCTTTTAGCAGGAAGAAACCTCAGGGAGGGGCAGCCATGTGCCATAACTGGTTGAGGGTGGGGGGATTAATAAGACAATTCCTGCAAAAGACATGTTGGTTTGCCCTCTACGGATATCAACAGCAATTTCTAACTTCGCTAATGGACAGAGGTGTGGGGTATTAAACAAAGAATTAGATCCTAGATACAAACTGCATAAATGAGCTTCTACTGAAAGATGCCTGCGTGCTGCCTAAAAGCTATAATGAGGATCTCGATCACTTGGAAGGTGCTTAGGGTAGACATGCCACGCCTCTGCATTGAACAGAGTCAAAAGAGATCATTTGGGTGTTTGACATAGGTGCATGCTCTTAAGTTTTAAGCTGGAAGCTTAATTTTAGTTATGCTTCCCTTTGTATGTAATTCTGTCATCAGCTGGTAATACAAGTAGCTAGAAACATTATTTGAAAATCTTAGAATGCTACTGAGCTCAAAGCATGGATTAATTGTCAATGAATTTTCTTTCTACTGAAAAATAAAAGAAGCTGTTAGTTTACAGGAGCGAAAGATGTGACAGCCCCGTTACTCCATTTTCTCTGTCAACGTCCCAACAGACCTTTGGTGTTGGGACGTTCATGGATTTACTTCCAGCCTCCAACTCACTTGGCTCACATCTCCAGTTCGCTGTGAACACTGTAGGCTGCATATCTGCTGACAGATTTCCGTCCGTTCTGGTCACCGGTGTCCTTTAACGGTGGCTTGTTTTTATCCAGTAGCCCCCTGGAGGTTTGTGCTCCGTCCTCACTGATGACCGCCGCAGCCAATATTGCAATAGACATTTTATCAAGTTTACGGATGAGGTGTCATATGGCTTTCTTTGCTCGAGGGAGGAAATGGACGCAGTGATGTAGTGGATGGCTACGTCTCGGGCTATGATGAATTTATTTATTTATTTGGATGAAGACAGAATTTTGTAAGAAAACAGGGCAAACCATTTTTAGAAGTTTATGTTTGTGTGTGTTAATGCTAGCAGCTGTTAAAGACGCTGAGGTCGGACTCTGCAGATTACTCTATTTTCTGGACTTTAGAGTACTTTAGGAAGTTTCTCCAGTAAACTGTTTTATTGTGCTTTCCAGTAATTGTGTCAGGTTTTTGTGTAGCATCCAGCTTGAGTTGAACTGATATGATTTAATCTGCTAAGAGCGCTGATGTGACAGATAAAACTTAGCCAGGCTAGTGGTACTTGCACTAGTACTAAAAGACCTTTTGAAAAATGCTCATTTTGACAGTGCTAACCTGGCTGTAGTGTGTAAAATTGTAATCACTTTTAATTAATATTAAAAGTAAAGTGACCTGACTAATGAGTTAGATTGCAATAGAGTGTTTCTTCTTCACCAATCTGGATTTAATCATTAGTTATAATTAAACCTGGCTCTCTAAAAGAGCGTCTTTGGTGCTGTCTACCTCCCCTCGCCCCCAACCACGCGCAGCAGATTGCCGCACCTCCCTGAGCCTGGTTCTGCTGAAGGTTTTTTCCTGTTAAAATTGTGTTTTTCCTTCCCACTGTTGCCAAGTGCTTGCTCATAGAGGTAATCTGACTGTAGAAGTTTCTCTGTACTATTGTAGCATCATTACCTTATAAAATAAAGCACCTTGAGGCGACTGTTGTTGTAATTTGGTGTTATATAAGTACAACTAAATTGAGTTGAAGTGGTTGGAACTGATCACAGCACCAGATGAAAGGGGGTCGGGATTACTGATTACAACTTCAGTGCATACATGGGTGTGTTTGTGTTTCTAACAAATACTGTGCCAATCTACCACACACTTGACAAGATTCAAGTCTGAATCCATGTAATGAACCAGCCAACAGACATTGCCATCACTAGATCCACACTGCTGTAAGGCAAAAACAACAACAGCAAAACATGACTTGACAGCATATATTCCGAGCGGAAAATATTCATTCTCAAGAGCTCATTAAACAGGAAACTTGTTCTAAATGAAAAGGAAACTGCTTCTTTAACAAAGTGCTCTGATATCGATTCCAACATCAAACATAACGATACCGGCAGCGATGACGAGAGAGCATACAGGTGTCCTTTGAAGACCCATACCTGTATCTGGAGCGTCCTCAGTGTTCTGAGTCGCTGCATAACAAACTGTACTGCATGGGGAAAATAGTTCAACTTGAATTTAAATCAGACAACAAAGCTTCACGGGCTGTGATGAACGATGCTTGCATCAACTGTCTATTCTCATGTTTTTATAAATATTAATAAGATTCATTCACACGTACACCTTTAACAGCATTATAAATAAAGACAGTGGTGCTGGTAAATAAAGAAGGGCAGCATGCCTCCATTTCATAACACAGCCTGCAGTGAGATGACTGCACCCTCCTCTCCAAAAAATATGTACAGTAAAAAAAAGGACTTGCATTTTATTAGCATGCCCTTTAAAAAGTAAAATATCCACCGTTGCAGTTCTTTAAAGTTCATAGTTTTCAGCCTTTGCTGCCATTGCTCAATCTGTGGTAATAAGAAGAGGGTATGGAGGCGAAGCTACCCTGGGCTGCATGACTCTTGACCTACAGCTGAGCTCAAGGATAGCGGGGTGTGTACAAATGAGACATTACTGTCTGAGGAGTTCTGCAATTCTCTTGCCAGCCGGCACGATGAACTGCTGTGTCATGCTGTTGTCTATGGCCTTAGGTCAGTACTAAGAAGGGAGTGAAAAGACTGCTGCTGAAGTGTGTCCAGTCTGTGATAATCAGGCAAAAAGATCATTGTGGAACTTAGCATGAATCACATTTTCAAGGGTAATTATTTACTAGCTGGATAACTGATAAAACGTGTACTTAAAAACGAACGATTTGTCGTTAAACAGCCTTTAAGCTAATGCCAAAGTGCTCTCTGTAATATAAATAATTAAGACTCTGTGTCAAAAAGGTGGGAATACATGTAGGAAGGATTAGTTCCCATTTCAGCGCCGCCTTTGAATGAGCGCGGATCAGATATACAATGAGAGCAAAGTCCTGACATTCAAACCTCTGAGAAATTATCTGTCAGTCAAACTCAGGGGGATGAGGAGCTCCGCTCATGAATTTCATTTGTCATCACACTATTCTGTGATTTTAAAACAGGTCACTGGCTTTATTTACTTTGTTATTAATGCTTTTCATCTATTTTCATGTTTCTGTCGATAAATGTCTTAACAGCTTGTCAAACATAAAGCAGTCTGGTATCAAAACGATGAAAGGATGATAGAAGTGATACTGTCGAGTATGAAGCCCACTGAATTGTGTTGGAAATGTTTTATTTAAATAGACCTCAGACATATGCTATGAAAAATGGCTGAACCTTTTTGTGTTGACTGTCACATCTATTTTATTTGTAGCCTATAGCACATTTAAACAACAGACAGTGACTTAGAGACAGGCACATTTACATTCCAGGTCTCCAAAAAACAGTTTCAAAATACACGAAAAGCTGAAATGTGTATTCTTTCATTTTAACTAAATATTGTGGGACGTAATGATTCATCTCATTAATCACGACCCGCTGCTCTCCCCTACATACGCTGCTTTTATAGGTTAAAAATATCAGTATCTGTATCAGCAATACTGGCTGTGTATTCACTTGATATTGGATTTATACCCAAATTTGAAGTATTGTATTGCATAAGCACTGCGTTGAACCTCAGCAGGTCATTTTTGCAGTCTTTAATAATGCATTAAGTTGCTGCAATGTGATCGTATATATACACCCACAGAGCTACATTCAGCAGACCTCTTGTGATAAGGGTAGTTCAGCAGTTTTTAATACCAGTAGCCCTCCCTGACACAACCCAAAAGGAGAGTTGTGTTCTGGAATTGAACCAGCGACCATTTATTTGTTAGGTCACTATGTAATCGTCTACACTGCACACTTCCAGAGGCTGACATTTTTAATGTTTTTCTGTACTCATCCTGCACAAATAAAATAAATCCACACCACTAAATTAAAAAAAGAATTAAGGGAACAATTATAGGGAACAGTATAACTCAAAGTCAATTAAAATTCAGGGACATCGATTCGTCCACTTAAGAATCATAAACCAGTTTTCATTTCCCCTGCTTTGGTGACAGTGAAATGTTTAAATGAAATGTTGTGTGCCCGACAGGTATTAAGACAAGACGCCCTGGGCGATGACTGGGTGTTCCCTTTTTTTTTTAAATTATTATTATTATTATTTAGGCAGTGTTTTAATATATAATAAATTGGTCACCTTAACTTTATGATTAACTTTAAAACCCTGTTAGTGTTTGGATGATACTATGTCACCATCCCATTCCCTGATGAATATGTTACTGACTTCATGCTCCAATCATCTATACAAACTATACAATGTATACATTACACTCCATATGTTTTCCCCATTTACAAACCAAACTGCTGATAATACTACAGAAAAGTCCTTTTTAAAGATAACATGCTACACTATATCAACAGCACAGACATTAAATATTGAGAAAAAAAATCTTTATTTAAAGAAGAGAGAAAAAAAAAAAAAGAGTTTTCTTCTCCTGTTAGGTTTGTAAAACTTGATAAATATTGTGGATTATTTCTTAAAGAGTGCATCATAGTCTTGAATGGTCCATCAGCCTGATTTGGATATGAAATCAGAGAGAAAGAAAAGCATATCTGAAAACTAAATGGCGAACTTGTTCCGGATGATTTCGCCACCTTCCACTTCCATCTGCTCGTAAAGCCACTTCCTGTCACAGCGGCACTCAATGCCACATCTGCGAGATCCACATTCAGGGCACGGGTAGAAGCAGCCCATGCAGTCCACATCCAAACAGTCACACAAGTCCTTGCCATTGGAGAGCAGTCGCCCTTTGTTGTCGTACACTTTGTTTTTGGCTCCAACATTCTGCCTGCGTGATTCAAACAGACAATGTCTTATAGAACAGTTGCATCTGGTTTTCTTTAAAGCTTTTCTCTTCTGATAGTTTTGATCTTTTTTTTTTAAATTTCATTCTAAAACTGTCACGTAAGAAGGTCATAACTGAATGTAAACCACCTCTTTATGAACCCAATTTAATGCTTATGTCTGACAATGTTAATAATACTTATAAATAGGGCTGTTCGATATAACGATATATATCGGATGACGATATAAAAACGTCTATCGTTTCATTTTACGCTATCGTTTGTTTTGTGGTGTCGCAAAATAAACTGTTTATGGCAATATTTTTTCATCGTTCTGATGGTCACTGTAGTGGCTCATCAATACACACTCTGGCAAATGAGAACGGAAATCTGAGGAATGTCACCAGCGGATGGTCTTAATTTAAGTTTTTGTTGGGTTTTTTTTTGTTGATGTGTTTCTTCTCCAACAGTCTGCATAAGGGCACAATCACTTAAGCCAGAAAAGGAGAATGTTATCCACGCAGGCATAATTTATGTTCACATCTAATTAGCAAACTAAGTGCAAGACAGTAAAAAAAGGATTCATGACAAAAAGAACTTAGTGTTAAGCACAAACAAATGTTTCTACCATCAAACTCAGTGGAGATACTGTATGCCTGCATCCACACAGGGAACATTTTTATTTTAAAACTAAAACTGATCCCTGTCCAGGCTTGACTTTTAGCCCAATTTTAATAATATTATTCACCAAGAGAAGCCACAACAATGGAAAGAAGAACCATGACAAAAAACAAACAAAGAAAACAGGATGTGAGCCTAGCTGTGATGTTTCGCCTTGCAAACATGCAAACACACAAGAGCATTTGCAGCAACACCAAACTGGATCAGCAAGCATTTCCAAAACGTGTGTGGTAGTGGTAGGTGTAAGCACAATAAAGGTTTCATGCTTTGCAATGCATTTTTGTGGATGTACAGCAAGCATCTCTCACCTGTCTGACAGCTGTTTCGCTCCACGGCCACCTCGTCCACCCTGCAACAATAACAATAACAAAGAAATATAGCTCATGCAGAGATAAATTAGGCCTAAAATAAATAATACACTTTATATTACACATAAAGACAACTGGGGAAAGAGATTTGTGGTTTAATGACAACAAAGAAACTGCTTTATTTCAAATGATCCAGTCAGTGGCTTCTGGTTAATATTCTAATACCTCTGATGTTATATCAAAACATCATGGCTTTGTTGCATTTATGCAACAGTCATGACACTTTATTATTATTTTTGCATTTTAGACTTAATTATAATTATTATTAAATAAATAATTCTTGAGGGGTAAAAAACTGAGCACACATTACCCTCCCACAGTATACACAATAGTAAAAGAGACACTCACCCTCATTCCTCCTCTTTTGTCTCTGCGAAGAGCAGCTTCTTTTGCTCTGTCTCTGTCCGCTTGTGTCGTCATCTGATTTGCGACATTTGTCTCCTTCAGGATTACTCCTCTTTTACGCAGTTCAATCTGTGGAATTTACAGAGTTATCACCTCAAACAAAGAAAGCAGAGTCACCTGTTTAGAATAAGCATGATCCTGTTGTGAGACCGCACCTTTGAGGAATCCTGTCCTTGGGTGAATATGGTGGGCACCGCATCCTCTCGGAGAAACTGTTTGCCATTGTAGTCTCTGAAGCAGTCTGGCCTAAAGTGCTCCGAACAGAGGCAAGTGTTGGCAGTTGGGATGAAGTTCTTCATCCCAAGGCTGTGCACCCATTTGCTGGCGAGTTGAGGTTTGCTAAGAGGAAACCTGACACACAAGAAAGAGAAGAGATGCTCCAAACCCTGGATGCTCCAGTCTACATGCCCTAGTATTCCCAAGCAAGATACTGAACCCTGAGTTGCTCTCAAAGTGTGAATGTTAATCCAACACTTTTCCTGGCTTAAAATGAATATTTGGTGATTAACCAAAGATGTAAAGAAATTATGGTTCAGCAAAGGTAATTTGGTAGTCTGGGGATGCCAGACAAGCACATTTGTCTAAGTGCTTTTTTTAACTAACATTCACACACATTCATACTCCGATGGATGCATCGGAGAGCAATTTGGGGTTAGTATCTTGCCCAAGGATATTTGGCATGCAGACTATGGGAAGCCAGGAATTGAACCACCAACCTTCCGATCAGTAGGTAACCTGCTCTACCACCTGAGTTACAGCCACCCAACAGCACAAACAAACTCTTGTTTGTGCCGTTGTTGGTCTGTCAGCCACGGAGAGGAGTGGAAGTTCTAACATACAAAGAGCTGATTTGAAAACGAATGTTAGAAACAATGAGCCCTAAGTCTCCACTGCAGTCACTGGCTGAGCTTTTCATGCTGTATATTTTGGATCTTTCAAGTTTTGTGGGGGGACTTTTGCTAATCTTTCCAGCCCGCCTGTCAACCAATCGTTCATTTCCAGCTACTTGCAGTTACAATCTAGGAGGACTGCAAGAAACGTGCACGCAGAGGGACGCATTTGCAGGACCATGAATTACACTTAAGCATGTACCAGTCCTACTTAACAGAACCTCCTACAGTTTCCTCTCATCTTTTGCCAACTGAATAAATTAAACGATAAGATAACTTTCCTTTGGTGAACGGCCAAAACCTCAAAACTCTGGTCTACATGGACTTGTTTTACATGCAAGGAAATTCCAGATTATGTTTTACAAATCTGTAAACTATATCTTTGCTTAAAAGCAGATACTGACCGAGGCATCAACGAGTGACCACATTTATTACAGTAACATTTTATCAAGCTACCAAATTATTGTCAACTTACCTTCTATTCACTTCTGAAAGCTTTATGTGCAACCGGAATTTGTTAAATAGGTTTATTGGTGTGCTGCATTAACATATCAACACCGTGTAAATGTACATAAGCCGTAACCATAAGCAACTAGCTTTAAGTAGATACTCTTCCTTCAAGAAAACGAAGCTTGAAAAATCAGGAAAGCGGTGAAGTAACTTGCCCAGAAAAAGCCATTACGTTGTACCTGTGTGGCGTCGTGGTGCGGTGTATAATGTCAGCACCCTCACGTTTAACGTTAGCTAGCTCTGTGGAGCTAATGCTAAGCTAAACCACGACAGCTTTTCTTGAAGCTAATGTCCAAACCTTTTAATGTTGCATTCAATCTTGAGGCCAAAACACACACACACTAACGCTGTGCAACAATACCGTTGCAAGATAAAGAGAAACTTTAGCTCCTCCGCTGCACAGAAAGCTTACCTGTAAAATCTTATTTCCGACCCTTTGACAAACTTATTGTTGCATCCTGTTGCCGCACATATAACGGGCATAGTGACTCTCTTTTTTTCTTCTTTTTGTCTAAACTATATGACAATACGAATTAAAAAACAAAACAACAGCAGTTTACAAACTTCCTTTCGCCGTCTTCTTCGGCCAAACTACTCGTATTTCTGCTTAAGCTTCCTGTTTCCCATTAGAAGAGTCTGCCCTCTGGCGGCGGTTCATGATATTCACATACATTTAAAACACTGGAAAACAGTCATGAACATGATTGATTTATGCACAATATGAATGGGATGGGAAACAAACTTTGACAGGCAGTCATTCGGCTCAAGTTACGTTGATATTCTAAATAAAATAAAATACAATAAAAATCGAAATCACACATGCATATATCACTCAGAAAAATAGTCACAGCTTGAAAAGTGCAAAAATATCTGTCTTAGATTGCAGACACAACGCAGGAGACTAACGGGACAAACATCAAAAACATTTTCTGTAGGTGCAGAAGTGAATCAATGAATTCACCACACACACTAGAACTGTTGACAGCGAGTGCAGAATATCCTTAACAACACATTTCCATTTGTTTTGCAATTTTTAATAACAGCCGTGCTTACAGACTAGCGGAACAAGCTGATGAATGACCTCTTATTCCAAAAGTCTGACCCATCCACTATGTGTCCTCCTCAGCCATGTTGGTTACCATGTTAACCAAAAAATTGAAATGACTTTGCCCTGCAATGACTTACGAGTGATATGGGTGTTTTTGATTACCAAATTGAACAAATAAGTGTTACTTATAAGTCAAAGTATAACAGTGGAATTGAGCTGAGCAGGCGCAGTGACTTTATTGGGCATGTTGTAACTCTGAACACTGTCTACATACGCTGTATACACTGTGCATACAGAAGGGCGACAATAAAGGGAAACTAGAATACAGGGCTATTTAAGTAGGGTTACAAAGCAAAAATCCCCCAAAGATGGGTGCTCATTTAAAAGTTCAGTGGACCAGAAATAAAGCCTGGTGTACTGAGATGGATGCTGAATACTTGATCACTTCAGCTAGGGGACTTGTGGGTTATTTTACTGGTGTGATATGACCTTCACAGTCCCAGCAGGTGGGGCCCATAGGCAATCACAAATAAAATGAGTATAGAAAACTGGTATAGAAAACATCGGGCATGGCTTTCACGCTCGTGTTCAGCCTTGTGTCCTATTACAGATTTATTATGGGAAAAATGGAGGGTCATGAGACTTTGTGTTGGATTATGGAAAAGAAAGTGTAATAAGAAAGGGAAAATAGAAGTATGTATAAAGTCTGTGATCCATTCAATTTCTGTAAAATGTACAGGAATAGACCCCATATTTTCTCAGAGTCTTACACATGTATAAGCAGGTACATACGGTATAAAGATGGACTATAAATTACAGCAGCAACCAATACAAACACCAGGTTCCCTCTACAAATTCATCTTCTTCTCTACCCTTCAGCTGCTCCCTTTAGAGGTCATCTGCCTCCATCTCACCCTCTAGCTATCCTCCTCTGTCACACCAACTTTCTGATGTCCTCTTTCACTAAATCCATGAATCTTCATTGTGGTTTTTTCTTTCAATTCTGCCCGGTAGCTTCATATTCAGCATCCTTTGTTCAACATTTCCACCATACCTCCTCTGATATATCAAAACCATCTCAGCCTCTCTAACTTTCTCTCCAAACTGCTCAACCTGAGCTGTCCCTCTCATTTCTAATCTCATCCATTCTGGTCACTCCCAGTGAAAATCTGAACATCTTCAGCTCGGCCTCCTGTCTTTTTGTGAGCACTACCATCTCCAAACCATACGTCATATCAGAGCTTATTACCATGTTATAAACCTCCCCGTTCACACTTGCTGCAGTCCTTCTGTTATTAGGTTCCCTGTAAATTTCTCACAGTTTGCAGCATCATCAACCAAGGCGCATCTTACATTATTACAATAATTTATCGGTGTCATATAGAGGGTCCAAATTAAACAATTTCATTTCATTTTAGTTGATTATGAAATCATGAATAAATTCCTAAAGCACAAAAAAATGAAAAAGGAAAAAGGGGAGACTGAATATTATTTAAGTATAATTTAAACGACTTTTTTTTCTGTATGTAAATAAATAAATAGGGCCTCAATTAAATGTATATATATTTTAAAAAGTCTGTGTTCTAAAAGGCTATAATTCTAAACAAGTGGGCCCTGTGGCCGATAAATGTGCTGCGGCTTTCCGCTCCTGCAAGACCAAATCCGGAATAGAGAAGCCCCCGGCCCCGGCCCCCTCTGCCTGATGAAACCTGCTTCCTGCTGCGACAGCCGCAGCCGGAGCTCCCCGGGGCCGCTGGATCACATGATAGAACGATGCTGGCTAGCGAGCTAACATGTTAGCTTATGTTGTTAAAGCCCTTGCCAGGAATCGCACACGGACGCAGTAGCCCAACTAACAAGCAGCCCCAAAGTCCTTAAGTCCTCGGTGAGTCTAAAAACGCAGCTCTGTGTCATTTCTGAACGTTTTTATTGACCCAGAGACGTTAACTTAGCCAAGCTAGCTAAGTTAAACTTGTTTATAAGAAGTTCGTTTGGTGTGCGGGGCTTCTCGGCTAACGTTAACGATACTGGCCTTGTGCGGCTCGACCAAGAAGCTAATCTCACCTAAACACCTGGTTGTTTTGCTTGAATAGCAGTGTTGATGGCATGTTTACCGTTTAACGTATGTCGATGTAAGCTGGCTGATGTTTACAAGCCAAACTTGAGGCTAGCTGTGTGCGTTTGTTTGTTACTACTTAAGTGGCATTAAGCTTAGTTAACTAACTAACTAACTAAGCTAATGTTAGCAGCAAATCTGCGGTCAAAACGGCCACATCACAGTATACCGGTACTGTCAAAACAATACTTGTCATACGTGTTAAGAGTTTTCGCTTGCGCTTTCAAGGGCTCCTACTATGGTTGCAAAGGGCGAAAAAACTAATGGTACTACTACTAAAGCTACTTTAGCTTGACGAGCCAGGCAGGCTGTTTACTCCCTCATATGTGCTTGTTTTCAGTGTGAAAACCCTTTGATGCACCTGCCCCACCCGTAGAGGTGGTTTCACTTGTTTTTCCTGACAAGTGCTGTGTGCAGAGGTGACATCTGTTGCACCTGCTATCTCGGCGGGGTGGATCATATCTTTATCATATCTTTATCATATCTTTATCACAAATTTATCATATCTTTTAGTTCGGTGACCTGACTTAATTCCCAACACGGCTCCACCAAAGATTACTCAGAAGAGAAGTATGGAGGCTAAAGAAGTGAAAACATCTGGGTGGATCTGCAAGTGAATACACTTCTTCTATTCTCCTTCCACCACATTGTGTGCGTGTGTTTGTCTGGGAACATTGATTGGTTGTGGAATCTGTGATCCCTGAAAGCACTGACTCTTTCCTTTCACACCAAGATGTTGCTGAGTGCAGTAATCCGTTTCTGCTTTACCGTAGAGAGTTGCATCCGTTGTTACTCTGAGAAAGCGATGTTTCCCAGTTGTAGTCATGCTGTCTTCGGACACTGGATTCGCACCTTCTCACGCCGTGTTTTCTCACATTCAGTCTTCCCCGCCACTCTGGCTGCTGACACGCGCAGTAATTTGAATCTTTCTCAGCAGCTTTGTTTGCATATTACTTACCAGTTCACAATCACTGAAGACTCAGAAAGCCCATAATGAACACGGACATTTTTATTAGGGGTTTTAAACTTAAATATGACCAAATGAACAATTTGTTTTCTAAATTTCTACTATTTAGTTATCTGACTGGCACATGCAAAAATACTAGTTGCTAAATAATCTCACAAGTTTTTTATAAAAGCCTAATTTTGACGCCCATCGATTTTATTTGGCCTCAAATTGTTTATTAAAGAGCAGACTGATGTTTGACTTGCTGGAGTGTAAATGGAGAACAGGTCCTTTCTCTTTTTTTTTCTCTGTATTTTATAATACTGACTCTAGATTGATCATCAACTATAAAAGATTATGATGACCAAACCAGGTACAAATCATTATAAGAACTGCATTTAAGTTATTATTGATGGGCGATTTTAGATTTGCATCAATTCTTAGTTTCTTTTGTGTTTGTTTGTTGGTGCTCTCATTTAATTTCCAACAGTCTGTGAAAACATGGTCAAAGGTGACTGACTGATAAGTTGCAGGGGACATTGGACTTTATCTGCGAGACGAGAGCGGGGATGACTTAAGGTCACATGCAGATAGGAATTGTTATAGCAAAAGACTGTTAATTCATGCAGGAGACCACGATGCCCTCGATCATCGTACATTTTAACTAGTAAATCAACTAAGCTTAGACTTGTATGACCAGAATAACACATCATAATCAACATATTCTGAATATCATTCGTTTCAAACCTCAAACCCCCAGGTTAGGCTTTTTTGTCCTTAATGAAATGATCCTGAATTGGATAAGTGGAAGAAAATATATGGATGAGTGATAATTCACTGTTATATGTTAGAAAATTTTTTTTTCTAATAAGCTGTGTGGCATTTTTGTGAGGAAGGTTTAGAGTGGTGACAGAGAGGACAAGTAGATGCTATGTTTTGACAGAACTGGAGAAAAATGGAGTAAGAACCTTGTAAAGATTGAAAATGGGTGGCTCTAATACTTGGAGAAAAAGAATCGAACACCACAACCCTGTGTGGATTTAAGAGCTGTGCAAATGACCAATAGTAACCTATGGTGTTCCCTCTTTCACCTCCCTCCCTCCTCCCCGTCTCTCTGTGTGTTTTCCCTCCTGTCTCCCATAGGGCATTGTAGAAAGGGACTTGTCTTCTTTCGTACTTGCCCTCTTCGAGATATCAAGTCATTAAACTTCTGCCCAACAAGTCACAGGGGTTTTGGCATCCTTTTAAGGATCATCAGGCGAGCTAGTCCTTAGCATCACCGCAGAGATATCAGCAGGCTGAGGTTGTGGACTGTAATGGGAAAGATGGATAGGCGATAAATAAGACACCAGATTCTGAGGTAAGGTCATTCCACCGCTGTGCCTGTCACAGTCGGTCTCGCAGTTCAATTCTAGCTGATAAGAGCTTTGAGTCAAAGTGTCGTTGACCTTGTTTTTCTTTACCATCAAACCAAAGCTGCATTTTCAGTGAGGAAATTGTTAAGTTCCAAAAAGTAA